TCACACACACACACACACACACACACACACACACACACACACACACACACACACACACACACACACACGTGCACACACACACACGCGCACACACACACACACACACACACACACACACGCACACACACACACACACACACACACACACACACACACGTACGTTTGCAGTGTGGACAGCAGGAGAATAGGAGGGTGTATATTCTGTCTCAGAAACCTTTTATTACAACACAGGACTGAAACTCCTCATTAGAGACAGGAGGAGAGCGTCCATCACTCTGAATACTCCTGATTACACTTTCTGCTTTTGGTCTTTGTTCGTGTTCTTTCTCCATTTCATATATTTCTATGGGTTTAACGGTCTCTAGTTTGATGATTCTGTCAGTTCCAGAGTCTAGTTGGTCTGTCCTAGTCTCTAGGTTGTTGTTTCTCTCTGTTTTTTGGCCATTAAGCAGATATTCCTGTCTGTTTTGGTGTCTTAAATTCTACATCCTGGTAGGGCTGCTCAATTAATCGTATTTTAATCGCGATTACGATTATGGCTTGCAACGATTACGAAAACAACGTAATCGAAATAAAACGATGTTTTTTTTTTGTTTTTTTTAAATAATTTTTTTTTTTTTTCAGTTGAATTATACTTCAAGTTCAGGGTAATCAACTGATAAAAAGATACTGTTCAAATATTTTTTCTCCAATAAATTGATGTTTTCAAAGTAAATGGATAATCGTTTTTAATAATCGTGATATCAATTATTGACCCAAATAATCGAGATTATGATTTTTGCCATAATCGAGCAGCCCTACATCCTGGTGTGTTGTAGGGTTTTTTGTTTGGTGTTTCTGTCTGTTTTAGAGTCTGTCATGTGCGCGTTCGTGTGTGTTGGAGGAGGGGCTCTGTAAGGAAGTAGCAGATTTCTTCCGGCTGTGTATTTTCAAATTCTAGCGATCTCGAGCTGGTTTCTCCAAAATTATCTACCCCACCTTTAAGCAGATATTTCTATGGGTGTTATGGTCTTTAGTTTGACGATTCTTTAAATTCTAGAGTTTAGTTTAAGCCCAAGGTCTGTTAGGTTGCTGTTTCTGTCTGTTTTAGTCTCTTAAATTGTACATCCTGGTCTTTTGTAGGGTTTTTTGTCTGTTTTATCGTCTTTAAGCTGATATTTCTGTCCGTTTAAGAATACTTAGCGTGACTTTATTTACAGTCTATTACTGTTTTAATATCTTTAATTTGTCTTTATTCCTGACATCTTAAGGCCTAAGTTAGTTGCTTCCGTATGTTTTAGAGTATTTTGCATGTTATTTGTTTCTGTTATCAGATTCTTAGTGTAATATTCATCGTGATTTGGATTATTTAACATTAAAACGCCCGTTGTGGTGTTTTTAGTTTGATCTTACTGTCAGTTTTAAGAGTTAAACTTGCATGTATGCACATTCTGACACCTCAATAGCTTTTGTTGCTCAACGGCACCAAGTCAACGGGTTTCAAACATGCAACCCAGGTGACAGGAAACACGCCTGTTACCACGGTTACCCCACAGAAAGAGAGAGAAAGAGTCTGTCATTCATTCGTCTCTCGTGTTCGGCTTCAGGTTTCTGTGCCTGACAGGATTATAACCTGACATGAAACCCTGACACACACACACACACACACACACACACACACACACACACACACACACACACACACACACACACACACACACACACACACACACACACTTGACGTTGATAGAAAATAGAAATGAAGGCTGCAGAGTCACAATACAAATCAGACGCTATTTACCCTGGAGCACACACAGTGAAACCAAACACACACACAGACACACACACACACACACACACACACACACACACACACACACACACACACACACACACACACACACACACACACACACACACACACACACACACACACACACACACATAGAAGGAAAACATAGACTTTTGTGATCTCTAACTGTGTCATGTTGCGCCACAATGAGGTTGACATTTGCTGCTTTTATTGAAATATTCCCACAACTGTATATATCTATATCTATCTATATATACAGTAAATACAGTATTGAAAAAATGAAGCATCCAGATAAACAAACCAGTGGAGGATGGAGCTTATTAAGGTGCTTTTTCCATATATTTTAATACAATATTTTAACAAAGAGTCTTCGTTGCCATTCGAAACCATTTGAGGAGAAGACTGCAGATCAACAGGAGGCGAGTATTTGATACCCAGAGATCATATTTTCATTGGAGTATTTATTTCACAATGCCGTGCAACTGTTGACTTATACTGAAATAACTGTGTGCAATTTATAAATAGTTTGAAAACAATCCAAAATCAGGATGCATATACTTGATTTTTCTGGTGTGAGTTTGCTCAATTGTCATAAAAGATGGATCTGTTGACGTGCTTGGTCGCTGAGTTGATTTTACAGGCTGCTTCTCGATTATTATATATATTTTATTATGTATTTATTTGAACAAGGACCATGCATACAAATACATTAATCTCAGAAAAGAGAAGATATTAATTATGACAGATTATACCTATTTTCCATCTGCAGTCCTTAGGTATACATAACAATCAATAAACACTAAAAAAACATTGCATAATCTCTATCACACAAACAATTATAAAACATGATTTAAGTACAGGTCAATAAAATAATACATAGTACAGTTAAAATATAATATTACAATAAGGTTCAAATGTAAAAACTCAGATTACAGTGTAGTGCATGACTGGTTGCTTAATATACATTTGTTTGCACCTTAAGAGAAAGAGTTAAAGTCAGTCCAGGTTTTAAATTCAACTGGAAGAATATTCCAGTGTTTGATGGCCGTATATGAAAATGCAGATTGTGAATGAAAATGTAAATTAACGTTTACTTTGTTCAAGTTAACTCAGACCACATTTCACGCCGGCTGAAGCTCCTCTTCTTAGCATTTGATGAATCTGCAGTGGACAGAATATCATTCAAGATAAGATAAGATAAGATCGGAGATGCCAGAGTTACAAAAATACAATAAACACAGCAGCACAATAATAATAAAACTGTACACTAACAGTGCAGTAAAAAGAGCAATTAAGTATCTACAGGAAACATAGACGGCCACATAATTAAGTAAATATTAACAGTATTTAGTAGTGCAAAAAACGTAGTGGCAGATACGTAATCGCACGTTCAGAAATAAAGACTAAAGGCCCTGACACACCAAGCAGTCACCAGAGAACTCACCGACGCCGACGCCGACGCCAACGCCGACTGTTGCGTCGCCGTGTTCTCCTGCGTCTTGGCCATGTGTCGCACTGGAACACACCGCAAAGACTTCAGCCGAGCACGTACGAACTGCGCATGCGTGAGTGGCAATAACTCTCCTTACCAGCAGGTGGCGGTAGTGTGTATTCGTCATTCAAAAGAGGCAACAACCGGAAGACAGAGAAGAAGAACAGACTGATATAAACAAACAACAAATAGCGTGTGCGTTCCATTTTCACTCTCGTCCATCGAAAACATGTTTCGTGCGGTTCTGGAGCTATCAGCCATTGGAGTGTTGCTTGTGGAAGACATTCTCAAGCAACCGTTTTGCTTCTCATGCACTGATTCGCTAGCTGAACAGCCAATCAGAGTGATTTCTTTGTCCGACTGCCTGTGGCCGATGCACGGCCGATTCAACATGTTGAATCGGCCGTGCATCGGCCATGAAAGGCCAATTAAGGCGTGTCACGGCCGACGGTGCGGGACACACCAAATTGAGTTTGGGCGACAGGGCACGCTTCGTCGTCCGACTAACGAAAACGGCCGATTTCGGCCTGGTGTGTCAGGGCCTTTAAACAGACGGAAACATCAAATTAAAGATATTAAAGACACTAAAATGTACCAAAAACATCAATCTAAATACATTAAAACAGTAATAGACTGTAAATAAAGTCACGCTAAGTATTCTTAAACGGACATAAATATCAGCTTAAAGACGATAAAACACATAGAAACAGCAACCTAAAGACTAGAACAGATCTTGGGCTTAAACTAAACTCTAGAATTTAAAGAATCGTCAAACTAAAGACCATAAAACCCATAGAAATATCTGCTTAAAGACTCTAAAACTGAAATGTTAACCTAAAGACTCTAAAACCTGACAGAAACACCAAATAAAAAGACCAGGATGTAAAACGAAAAACACTAAAACCAACAGAAATATCTGCTTAAAGACTCTAAAACAGAGAGGAACAACAACAACCTAAAGACTACAACAGACCTTGGCCTTAAACTACACTCTAGAATTGACAGAATCATCAAACTAGAGACCGTTAAACCCATAGAAATATCTGCTTAAAGACTCTGAAGAAGAAATGTTAACCTAAAGACTTCAACCGACAGAAACACCAAACAAAAAACCCTGACCAGGATGTAAAACTTAAAGTGGACCTATCATGCTATATTTGAATAATATAGTGTAGGACCATACCTATATAAGGCATATTTATACTTTTTTTTTTTTTTTCAAAATACCAAACAGATCATGCATTTTAGCCATGCCTCATTTTGCTCAATTTGACAATTTATAGCTCTGTTTTAGCAAGGGCAGATTCAGTGAGAACAGCACCATCTACAGGCCTGGCATATGTACTACAGCGTCTCCAGCGCTTTCGAACGGCAATGGCCGTGGCTGTCTCCTCCTGATTGGTGGAGTTGGCCCAATAGCCGTAGCGCCACCGTCCTGACGTCAGGACAGTGTTCAAATCTGGATCAGTTTTTATCAGATCCGTTGCAGCCCCTTTTTTAGAGATTTGGGTATGGAGGAAAATAGAGAGGGTTGTGTTTTCTGACACTTGGTGAGTTCCCTGGAACACCGGGGACACATATTCATGTATAAAAGACGTACAAAAGTGCATTTTGCATGATAGGTCCCCTTTAAGACACCAAAACAGACAGAAATGTTAACTGAAAGACTCTAAAACAGAGAGAAATACCAAACAAAAAACCCTACTATACAGAACATTATTAACAATGAATAATAATGATTTCAGGAGGCCCATTGTCTTTTGATTCAGTCCAGAGTCATCGGTCCAATGTCTTCCCTCAACAGCGGGAGGAAAAGTGGTCATCTTCCACCTCACAGAGTGACACTGACGAACCAAAGCCATCAAATCCATTCCCAAACCCGAACCCAAACGCAGGGAAAAGAGGCTGCGTGAATTCGGACTTGAATGTGTGGAGGGGCATCAGTTTGTCAGAGGCCACTTTGTAGAAGGTCAGAGTCCCGGCAGGATAGTCCAGAAACACTGCAACTCGGTTTTTTTCATTTGCCGCTGCAGACGACTCGACGTTCGTAGTTCTGTCTTCATGCCGGACAGAGTAACTACCGTCATCGTCACAGAGCAGCATCCAGGAGTGATCGTTGGCTCCCAAACAGCCGTCAGCTCCCTCTCCTCTCCGTCTGATTTCAGCATATGTCACTGCTATATAAACTTTGCCTTCCCACTCCATCTCCCAGTAACAGCGACCAGTCAAGCCAGAGCCACAAAGCACCTGAAGCCAGCAGTTGAATCTCAGATCGTGGTCAGGACGACGCTGCTCCTCTTTTACGGTTGTTACCTTCGTGGAGTTGTCGGATAGTTGAAGGAATGAGTGTGCCGTGTTTGGATCCAGTGTGAGTTCACAGGCATCTGATGGAAAAAACAAAACAGCAGCAGTTTATCGTTTGAAGGTCACCTATTCTTCTTCATGTCTCTTCTACATCAACATGTGTCCCCTCTTCTTCATGTCTCTTCTACATCAACATGTGTCCCCTCTTCTTCATGTCTCTTCTACATCAACATGTGTCCCCTCTTCTTCATGTCTCTTCTACATCAACATGTGTCCCCTCTTCTTCATGTCTCTTCTACATCAACATGTGTCCCCTCTTCTTCATGTCTCTTCTACATCAACATGTGTCCCCTCTTCTTCATGTCTCTTCTACATCAACATGTGTCCCCTCTTCTTCATGTCTCTTCTACATCAACATGTGTCCCCTCTTCTTCATGTCTCTTCTACATCAACATGTGTCCCCTCTTCTTCATGTCTCTTCTACATCAACATGTGTCCCCTCTGTGGAAAGAGACTCTGAAAGTTTCAGGAACAAAGATTCTCTCTCTTTTTGATTCATTTATATAAAAACCTGTCTGAAAATGAGCTGATCAGATTTTGGCCACTTTATGATGTCATAACGATGTTTTGTCTTGTGTAACCATTAGCCAATCAGCAACCAAGGTAACCCCCCCCCCCCCACCTTATCACCTGAATCTCCTCCTAGAGCACCATTGAGTTCTTTGTAACCAAATCTCTCTCAGAGGGGCGTGGGGAGGGGCTCCTTATTTTCATCTAAAGTAACAGACAGAGAATCAGCACTTTGGAAACAGGGCTGAAACAGAGGGGATTATGGGATGCTGCAATGATCTGTTTGGTGTTTCAGCCAATCAGAGACAGGTTCTGTATATATCTGAGACCTGTGATATATTGATGAAAAACAGTATAATAGGGGACCTTTAAAACACCTGTGGCATTATAAAGCAATAGTTTAAGTTTTACAGTTTTAAGTACTAGCTACTAGAATGCTACACTTCACCACTGTATCTTAGCTTAGCATATACATTAGCCTAGTATGACCAAATGGCGTATTAATAACACAACAACTGTTACATTATTTTGCCTGTAACCACTACGCAATATTGCTTTCTGCATGTAAATTCGCAACGTGGGAATACGGAAGCAGGTGATGGTATTCGCCTTATGTAGCTCCGCCCCTTTCCCCACCTCTGATCCAAACGCTTATATCTTAGCTATTCTGGTTAACCTGTTAAGCCCGAGAGACCCCGGTACCGGGGCACTGCCGCAACATCTTGCAGGAAACAGTGTCTGAGGGCATGTTCATTTAATAAACTATGAATGTTTTATATCCATGTAACGGGAATAAACTCATCTAACTGATCTTTTTTTTTTTTTTTTTAAAGAAAACCCACAATGCTAACACTGAGCCTCTGAATTAGCAACGAGCGAAAAATGCTAACACCTTACTGCACCGAAAATCACTCACAAAACCTTATTATTTATCTCTTCTCTACATCCATGGCATCGATTCACATCGTGAGGTGACACAGAATCGATGGGTACCCACATTATCACTGAATTATACGAATTTGCAACGTTATAAACAAAAATGGACATCAAAACAGGTGACGCTAGGTAGCTAAAAATGCTAACATTTTTACCTTGGCTCTGTAGTCTCTCCAAAGTGGTCTTCAATGGCATTAAAACGATAAAAACGCTGCTGAAGTTAATCCATAGGTTAATCTAATGTGTCTGTGTCCCTTTGAAATGATTTCTGATAATCCATGACCAATAAAACGGATAATCCATGCTTTTCCGTTTCTAGGTGTCAGAGCTAGAATGTAGCTTCACTCTAATGCAAAACTGCATGCGCGAAGCCCCCACCTTTTCGTTTCACAATGAGTGTGTGTGGGGGACTCCCCCTTCGATTCTATTGTCTCTAACGGTCAGAAAGAGGTGTCAACCATCAAAATTGAGCAAGGGAAGCCAGAGATATGGAAAATCCACCCAAATGACCCCAGAAGTGGTTTCTTTTTGCTAAATCTCTCTAAAAAGGTTAAATGTCACTTATTTTTGCATCAATCTCGATACAGGGTACTTATTATATGTTGTACTTTGGATTTCTAAAGCTTTTAGTCTACTAACCCATCATCCAAGGGTGGTTTTCACTATAAGTAAAAAAGAATTTTTGGACGGACACTATAATTTACAATTTTTACTATGTAAAATCTGAATTTTCTTTAAAATAAAAAACATCTATATTGATTCTGACTTCTCTACATCCAACTCACAGGTTTATCATTACTTTGAGAAAAAAGATGATTAATTTAACCCTTTTAGAAGGGAAGATATGGTCATTTGTTCTGGGAATGTCATTTTCGAGCCTGAGACCTGAAAAACAGGCTCAGGGCTTAACAGGTTAAGCACGAGCAGCACTGTCATGTAAAATGATTAGTGAGCGGTGTTCTGTTCTAATATCACCATCTGTCTGTCAACTTACATTTATGAAGCCCAGGTCTCAATCTTTCCTCTCCACCATAATCGAGGCTAGAGGAAGGAACAAAGGCAGAAACAACCGTCATTACCTTTCAAATGGTAAATACTCATATCCCTATTTTTGGGAAAATACTGAACGTACTCTTCCAATATGAGAGTAACATGATAACAAAGGTATCCCAACTGTAGCTGTGTACATAACAGTATGTGTGATTACCTAGAAGAGCATCAGGACTGTTTGAGGCATATGATAGCTATGTGATTAACATGATGATTCAGCCTCTATGGAGATAGACATATGACAAGCATGATCATTTCTGACGTGGAGCTAATCTGAAGTAAACATTGAATACTGCTTTCTATTCCTCCATCTTGTGACTGTGTAACTCCCTCTCTTGGATATCAGCATGTGAAGGACACTGTTCAGGAACTAGTTGATGCTCTGTATGTGATGACTACTTCCATTCTGGAGAGGATCACAAATACATGGGTCCTGAGATTGAAACTCAAGCCGGAGACAAATGATATTTTTCTAACACCTATTTAACATCCAACACTCTTGATAAGTAAGAAATAATTTGGTTTTGTTGGTTCATACTTGAGAGAGTCCAGTTCTGCAGACAGCAGCATCGCTCTGGATTCTCCTGGATGATTGTAGCTCAGGTCCAGCTCCTTCAGACAGGAGGGGTAGGACTTCAGAGCCGAGGCCAGAAAAGCACAGCCTTCCTTTGTGATCATACAGCCGGACAGTCTAGACAAACACATACATATAGTTGAGCAGAAAAATGTATCCAGGAAGCAAGGAGTCAACGTATTTTACTTCCTGTCTCAAGTTATGTTTCCAAGTTGCAACGGGTGTTTAGACAGTAACGTTGATCAGGTTTTTTTAATGTAGTGGGTATATTTTTTAAAGTTGTCAGCAATATATCACAGGTCTCAGATATATCCAGAACATGTCTCTGATTGGCTGAAACACCAAACAGATCATTGCAGCATTACCCATAATCCCCTCTGTTTCAGCCCTGTTTCCAAAGTGCTGATTCTCTGTCTGTTACTTTAGATGAAAATAAGGAGCCCCTCCCCACGCCCCTCTGAGAGACATTTGGTTACAAAGAACTCAATGGTGCTCGAGGAGGAGATTCATGGTGATAAGGTGGGGGGGGGGGGGGGGTTACCTTGGTTGCTGATTGGCTAATGGTTACACAAGACAAAACATCGTTATGACATCATAAAGTGGCCAAAATCTGATCAGCTCATTTTCAGACAGGTTTTTATATAAATGGATCAGGAGAAAAAGAGAAAGAATCTTTGTTCCTGAAACTTTCAGAGTCTCTTTCCACAGAGGGGACACATGTTGATGTAGAAGAGACATGAAGAAGAGGGGACACATGGTGATGTAGAAGAGACATGAAGAAGAGGGGACACATGTTGATGTAGAAGAGACATGAAGAAGAGGGGACACATGTTGATGTAGAAGAGACATGAAGAAGAGGGGACACATGTTGATGTAGAAGAGACATGAAGAAGAGGGGACACATGTTGATGTAGAAGAGACATGAAGAAGAGGGGACACATGTTGATGTAGAAGAGACATGAAGAAGAGGGGACACATGTTGATGTAGAAGAGACATGAAGAAGAGGGGACACATGTTGATGTAAGAAGAGACATGAAGAAGAGGGGACACATGTTGATGTAGAAGAGACATGAAGAAGAGGGGACACATGTTGATGTAGAAGAGACATGAAGAAGAGGGGACACATGTTGATGTAGAAGAGACATGAAGAAGAGGGGACACATGTTGATGTAGAAGAGACATGAAGAAGAGGGGACACATGTTGATGTAGAAGAGACATGAAGAAGAGGGGACACATGTTGATGTAGAAGAGACATGAAGAAGAGGGGACACATGTTGATGTAGAAGAGACATGGAGAAGAGGGGACACATGTTGATGTAGAAGAGACATGAAGAAGAGGGGACACATGTTGATGTAGAAGAGACATGAAGAAGAGGGGACACATGTTGATGTAGAAGAGACATGAAGAAGAGGGGACACATGTTGATGTAGAAGAGACATGAAGAAGAGGGGACACATGTTGATGTAGAAGAGACATGGAGAAGAGGGGACACATGTTGATGTAGAAGAGACATGAAGAAGAGGGGACACATGTTGATGTAGAAGAGACATGAAGAAGAGGGGACACATGTTGATGTAGAAGAGACATGAAGAAGAGGAGACACATGTTGATGTAGAAGAGACATGAAGAAGAGGGGACACATGTTGATGTAGAAGAGACATGGAGAAGAGGGGACACATGTTGATGTAGAAGAGACATGAAGAAGAGGGGACACATGTTGATGTAGAAGAGACATGAAGAAGAGGGGACACATGTTGATGTAGAAGAGACATGAAGAAGAGGGGACACATGTTGATGTAGAAGAGACATGGAGAAGAGGGGACACATGTTGATGTAGAAGAGACATGAAGAAGAGGGGACACATGTTGATGTAGAAGAGACATGAAGAAGAGGGGACACATGTTGATGTAGAAGAGACATGAAGAAGTGGATTTTGCATAATAGGTCCCCTTTAAGGTGGGTCCCAGATAGATACATTTAATAGTTGAATATTTATTTCCGTCTTTACTTTCCATTCTAGGTTTGTAATAGTCATTACTTCTTCCTTTTGCATTCGATGTATCTGAGACCCCTGCAACATCACTGATCAGATACAAAAAATGATGGCATTCTGACCTGAGAGTTTGCAGGACACAATGTGGACTTTTCAGTCCGGCAGAAAGAAGTGTCACTCCCGAATCGTGCAGGTCGTTGTCACTGAGGTCCAGCTCTCTCAGTTTAGATGACTGAGAGCTGAGGACAGAGGCCAGAGCTTCACACACGTTCTCTGACAGTTTACAGCCATTCATCCTGAAAAACATATATGTCAGACAATAAAGAAAAGTGAACAGATAACTCGTATGGGTTACAGCAGGGGTGTCCTCATAAGTTCAGTTATAAGTTAGCAAAATCAATCAAATGTAGGTCAATGATGCTTGTGAGTGTTGGCAGCTCATCCCTTAAAGCAGAAGCCTCAGATTGAGTATAGTAAGGAGAAATAGGAAGGGTGTATTTCAAGCTTGTTATGTAAATAAGTTATTGAGCTTTTTTCTTATCAACTAAGATTTGTTAAAAAATGTTTCCAACTTGAATTGACTGAATTTATTTGAAAAGTGGTCTCATTAACACATGAATACTACTGTGTATATATACTTATACATTTATATTTAAGAAGTACAATATAAGACAAGCACAAGTTTCATTTGTGGGCCATATTCCATTATACTTTTTGAATTTGCTAAGGGCGATTCAGAAGTGTGGTCAATAGTTTGGCCACCCCTGGGTTACAGTATAGTCATGTCGTTTCCTGTGCACATACAGTGATTTGTTCGAGGCCTTGACCACTGGCAACAGCCTCAGGAGACCCTCCTCAGAAGCAGAGTATTTCTTCAGGTCAAACACCTCCAGGGCTTCTTCCGATGACAGTAGGATGAAGACCAGAGCTGCCCAGAGAGCAGGGGACAGATTTCTTGTTGAAAGCCTTCCTGAACTCAGGTACTGTTGGATCTCGTCCTCTAGAGAATCATCTCTCAGCTCATTCAGACAGTAAAACAGATTGGTGCTCCGCTCTGACGATTCAGTCTCCCTAATCCTTTCCTTGATGGACTTGATTGTTTGATGGTTATCCTCGGAAAACTCTTTTGGGATCGTCAACAGGTCCTTGAGGAGATCCTGATTGGTCTGCAGGGAGAGGCCCAGGAGGAAGCGCAGGAACAAGTCCAGGTGCCCGTTTGAACTCTTTAAGGCTTTGTCAATGGCAATCTTGTGGACTTCTGTTATGCATTTCTTCTTTTTGCAAGGCATGCAAAGTTTTTCCAGTGTCAGCTTAGAGAGTACATTATTGTTGTTGTTAATGAATGACATGACCACATGAAGAGCAGCCAGATACTCCTGAAGGCTTAGGTGGACAAAGCTGAACATCTTGCCCTTGTCGTCTTTCTTCCACCTATGCTCCTCTTTAAAGACCTGGGTGAAAACTCCAGAGTACTCCGCAGCTCTACGGATATCGATGCCACTGCCTTTCAGGTCTTTCTGATAGAAGAGCAGGTGGCCTTTCTCCAGCTGGTGAAAAGCTAGCTTTGCCAATGACTGGATGTAATGAATGCTCTTTTTTGTGCCATGTTTCTTAGCTGTCAGGGTGATCTGAAACACCACGAATTCTGTGTACATCTCGGTCAGGGTTTTGGGCAGCTCTGCCTGTCCTCTCTTCTTCAAAACGTCCTTCAGAACTGTAGCAGTGATCCAGCAGAAGACGGGGATGTGGCACATGATGAAGAGGCTCCGTGATGCCTTGATGTGGGAGATGATTTTTCTCGATTGCTCTTCATCTGGAAACCTCTTCTTGAAATACTCCTCCTTCTGTGGATCAGTGAATCCTCTCACCACTGTCATGCATTGGACAAAGCGTTGAGGGATCTGATTGGCTGCTGCAGGCCGTGTGGTTACCCAGACGCGAGCCGAGGGAAGCAGTCTCCCCTCGATGAGCGCTGACAGAAGCGCATCCACTGAGGTTGACCGTGCCACATTAAATTCAGCCGGCATCTGTTCACTGCCAGTACATTCCAGCTGAAGGCGGCTTTCGTCCAGTCCATCGAACACAAAGAGAAGCTTGAATTCACTCTTGTTAAAATCACGGTTTCCCGATCCCTGTAGTTTTGTGAAGATCTCAGTAAGGTCCGTCTTGTTGATGTCTTTGGTTTCCCAGATGCATTTGTGGATTAGCTCAGCCAAGCGAACCCTTTCTCCCTTCAGTAAATTCAGTTCGCGGAAAGTGAAGTGAAATATAAGGTGAACATCTTGATTTGTTCTTCCCTTGGCCCAGTCCAACACAAACTTTTGCACGAGGAATGTTTTGCCAATTCCTGCTACTCCAGTCGTAAGGACTGTTCTTATGGGTTTGCTGTTTCCAGTAGGGCTATTGAAGATGTTACTTGGTTCAATTGGTGTTTCTGTGCCTGCTAACTTCCCTTTTACTCCAATCTGCATGACCTCGTGCTGGTCGTTGATGAGCACCTCCCCTCCAGGTGTGATGAACAGCTCTGTGAAGATGTCATCCAGACACTGATACTGATCCATTGTCTCTGTCATACCCCCAGGGGCACACGTAAAGGTGCTCTGGAGGTTAGATTGGAGTTTTTGTTGGAAAAGTATGATCTTTGTTTGAGGCGTTGGCACTGCAATCTTCTCATCTATGAGAATCAAAAATGAAATCAATGGTCAATTACAAAAAGTTGGTATCCAGTCTTATGAGCATAGGCCCATTGGGCGACATGGGGGAATACATCTGTACATAGTGGCTTTTAATCCTTGCTGGAGTTTACGATACATGGAAGTCACTGTTTGGTTGATACCCCAGTGTATGAGTCATGGTTTGGTGTGTATTAAGAAGAGAACAAATGGGGGTCTTAATACTAAGCTGTAATCAGAACATAGTCGGACAACGGACACTAGACTTTTTTTAAACTAAAAGTGAAAGTGTCTGCTACTTACTAAATTGCAGCTGGAGTCAGATTTCACTCAGTTGATGGACAAGAAATTGGCATAGAGTTTGACGTCAAAGCATTACGCGAAAAGGCCTTTGCATCCATATGTTGAGTGACACTAATAAAGTGAATGAGGCAAACTGTATTTCACAACCTTCCCCATTGGCATTGACAGCACTTGAATTATGTTTTGCGTTTTCATCCGGACAGAGATGATTTTCAAACTGTGCTTGTGACGACTGTGAATACCTTGTTTACCAAAATATCAGTTTAGGTTTTGACAAGGACGGAGAATGCTGCTTGTTGTTAAGGGAACATGTTTATGTAGGAGGCAGTGTTCATCAGCTTATGGTGCTAATACGTTTCTGGGGAAACTCGTGAACATTGGTTTCACACACTGTTAAAAATCTGCTCAAAGATTGTTGGTCAACCCTGTCTGAGACTTTATGACTTATGAGCCTATCATAACAACCTAATGAGGCTGTCCAACAACATCATCTCGGACCGAAACTATGTTCTGAACAGAGAATATGAACTGCTACCATCTAATGGAGATTCAATAAAGTCAGACTGAAGCATCCTTTGTGCTCCAGTCAATCCTCACAGTAAATACAGAGCTGAATCCAGATCAGATGCACGCTGAAGGCTCTTTGAGCAGCTTTTCTGTTGCCGTCTGGCAGACGTTACCGCAGCATCCGGGCAAGGACAAGAAGATTCGGAGACAGTTTCTTCCCGCGGGCAGTGAGACTGTTAAAAAATTGAACTGTTGAAACAACTTCAAACATTCAACTGCTACTCAGTAGTATGTATCTAATACCTAATATATATATATCATTCCAATAACTTGTATATAGACTCATACTGCACTATTCCACATCATAACTTTATTTCATTTTTATAACTATTATTATTTTTGTATTGCTCTTGCTCTTATTGTTATTATGTTATGTTATTATGTTGCATTGTTGGAGAAGCCTGTGACATAAGATTTTCAACTGCATAATTACTCTGTAGCTATGTCAGATTGACAATAAAGAACCTTGAACCTTGAACCTTGAACCTTTCTCTCACTGATTGTGCTGTTATGTTAAATGTTTTTCATGTATTGTGTCGTGATATCTGTCTATGTTGATGTTACACATGGAGCTGCTGTGATGCAAGTCACATTTCAGACTTGATCTGACCATTAAAGTATTATCGTATCGTATCTTATCATATCATATCTTATCGTATCGTACATTACGTGCATTGAGCTACGGCATAACCCAGTCTGAATCCATCGTCAGTCAGTACCTGTTCTGGGACTCCTGTCAGTTGGAGGTTGAGGAAGAGGAGAAGACTGTGGTTCAATGGGAGAAGTTGTTGCGATCTTTGTAGTCTCCACAACAACACTGGCATCCCCTAAAAATGATCGGGTACATGAGATATTTAGTAAATCAAAGACTGACTGTTTACATTTCAAATAAAAAGTGATACTCATAGCTTTTGCAACGACTAGATTTTCATGGCCTTGTTCATGACACAAATGGGTCATATTGTGAGAACAGAAAATCATCTTCTAGTGTTAGGGTTAATGTCTTAGCATTTTGAAGGATATCTAATGTGTCTGAATGCTGAAATCTCTGCATCAATACATTTAGTTGTTGCTTTCCCACATCCCTTACCTTTTAGTTCTGAGCTTCTCTTTGCCAACGTCTGTGCCAAATCGTTCCTGCCGATATTCCCTAAAATCTTCGTGGCCACTTCCACAGCCTGTTGGTTGTATTTCTGCACCATCACATTCACTGTCTCCTGCCTCTCTGCATCTTCCAGGCAGGAGACAGGGATCGGGGGAAAGCCATCGGGAACGTCGTTCAGAAGACGAAACTGGAAAGATTTTAGCTCCTTTTGAAGCAAATCTTCCAGCGTTTCCAAAAGCAGCACTTTAACTGTCGCCATGTCTGATTCCTGTTAAAGAGAGATATTTAAAGAATATTCATGCGATTCTTTTCAGTGGGTAGATTAAAGATTGATCTGTTTTACCATTGTGTACCCAGGTTTTTATTTCATTTCATTTTTACTTGTTCCGTTCATGGTATGCACAACTTAATGTATAACAATTATTTACAAAACATGTCTCTGTAAACACACCATTGACCGAAAAGAAGCAGGGAGAAGAAAAATAATCTTATATTACCTGACCCTTATATTACTTAAAGGGGACCTATCATGCAAAATGCACTTTTGTACGTCTTTTCTACATGAATATGTGTCCCCGGTGTTCCAGGGAACTCACCAAGTGTCAGAAAACACAACCCTCTCTATTTTCCTCCATACCCAAATCTCTAAAAAAGGGGCTGCAACGGATCTGATAAAAACTGATCCAGATTTGAACACTGTCCTGACGTCAGGACGGTGACGCTACGGCTATTGGGCCAACTCCACCAATCAGGAGGAGACAGCCACGGCCATTGCCGTTCGAAAGCGCTGGAGACGCTGTAGTACATATGCCAGGCCTCTAGATGGTGCTGTTCTCACTGAATCTGCCCTTGCTAAAACAGAGCTAGAAATTGTCAAATTGAGCGAAATGAGGCATGGCTAAAATGCATGATCTGTTTGGTATTTTGAAAAAAAAAAAAGTATAAATATGCCTTATATAGGTATGGTCCTACACTATATTATTAAAATATAGCATGATAGGTCCACTTTAAATGTAGCAATATATGTTTCTGTTTACCTGTTTTATTGCGTTGCACTGTTGGAGAAGCCTGTGACCTAAGATTGTCATTGATATAACTATGTTCGTATGAAAAATAAAGAACCTTGAACCTTGAACCTTGAAAAGTGCAACACCCTATTATATCATTTATCATATAATGTTTAGTCACTCATAAGTTAGTCTTGACTACTGTTGTTGAGCATCAAAGTTGTTGTTTTTAAAAAACTATATGTGACACAAGACGATGGATTTTTTAGACGACAAAAACTGTGAAAAGCACTTTCTGGTAGCTTACAGTCAGCCACAAGGTACCTATTACTATCCGCTGGTTAATCATCTGTTTTACTCTAAATGGAACCATAACTCAGGTTTTAGAGACAAATATTTGGTAAAACAGTTTTAGAGTGCATGATTTGTATTGTGGTCTGGGAGTTTCCAGATGTTGACTCTTCCTGGAAGAAAAATGTCCGTGTTGCTTAGGAATGTTTTCCCGGAACGGAGGAGGGATGCGTTATCTTATTTCTCCTCTCCTGTTTACTTGTTGAGATGACCCGAAGTCTGCGATTAATAATCTCTTATCTGAAGTTGCAGCCATAAAAGACATGACTGTCTCTTACTGTAACCAATATGACTCAAATGTCAAACACAACAACGACACGATAGAGATATACACAGTTAGACTCTGAGAGAATGTGAAAAAGGACTAGTAAACAACCTTAAAGAATATATATTGGTTATAATGGGTTAAAGCATGTTTGACAGTTAACTATTGAGATGTAATACCATTGTCTCAGTCAACATTTGAATGTAGTTGTTAAAGGAAGTTGGCCTCATGAAGAATACTGTTTTTCAATGAGTTCAATTCCACAATGTGTCTTGTCTGTAGTAAACATTGGAGGCTGACGTTTAACAAAGGTTACATTTCTGGTTTCAGTCGTCCCAGTGCATTGTGACCAGCCAATGATGTGAGTTAACATTAATAATACGAACTATACCAACTCATACAGGAAAAGTGTTGCGAAAATGCGCTAAAAAGTACCTCCAACATCAAAGAGAGTCAAACAAAGAAGAAATGATTCACTTACTCAAGTTGTTCCAGATCTCATCCCAGTAGGTTTGTCGTTTAAAACAACAAATACAAATAAATGATCTGCTCGACCTACGAAGGCTACGTTTGTGACCAACTATCTGAGAGACTCGATCATTTCTCTCCTTCCTGTAACACTATGACTTTTAGAGACTGACTGTCTTTAATGACTTTTTACGACAAGTCAAAGTCCTTAACTCTAACGGTATTAAATCAACAAAAACCACCTGACGTCAATGTGTTGGAAATTACATAATGACATAACTGGATTAAAGCCAAACGGTCTATGATCAGTAGCTGCTCAGTACAATGACTTTTTACACTGTACAGATGAAACAAACAAACACACACACGCACACACACACACACACACACACACACACACGCACACACACACACACACACACACACACACTCACACACACACACACACACACACACACACCACACACACACACACACACACACACACACACACACACACACACACACACACACACACACACACACTCACACACACACACAGTTATGAGTCTACAGTAATTTTGTTCAGTGAGGTCGGATTAATCGGAGCCTCCGGCTGCAGCAGAAACAACCTTAACCATCCATCAGCTCTGACACCTGATCTGATATAATTATTACTCACACACACACACACACACACACACACACACACACACACACACACACACACACACACACACACACACACACACACACACACACACACACACACAAATGTAATCTCTAGCTAGTAATCTCGATTTCTCTTGAGAAAACCACCATGAACATTTCAATTGAACTCACTTCTCTCTTGTGCTGCAGGTGTACAATTAAAAAAGGATGATACTCCTAGAGACTAGTAGTATGAAAAGTACTCATAACACAGGATGAATGTTATATTGTAGACGTGAGAGACAGACACACACCTCTGCAGACAGACAGGAAGTTAATCTGTGTGAGATAAGACTCTCTCTAAATCTTTGAGCTCTGGAGGAAAAACCTGAAATCCAGACTATCATATTTCCATAATCTGCAGCGTCTTCTCACCAACACGCTCCCCACACACTCATCATCTACATTCCCATCATGCACCTGGCCTCTGACACATTACCATAATCCATCAGGCCTGTGCAGACTCTCGGCTGCGGAGAAACGCTGACACTTTCTGCAGGTGAGGATCTCACAGCTCACACGTTGGGGTATAAATAACCATTCGTGCAGAAAATGAAGAATATAATTACCTCACAAAGTCCAAACGTGTAAAGTACATCCATCACAACCATATTATGTCAAATGAAGGCAAAACAAGTTTATTTGTAGCTCATTTTAACGACTAGGTTGCAAACGAGCTACAAAGACCGAATCCTTTCCATCAGGAGAAACTTTTAGTTAAAGCTGCGCATGTTTTGTTGTTTTGGCAGATTTGTGTTTTTATCTTTGAATCGTTTCTGAAACGGCAGCGTGTTTCTTCAGATGGAAAAGGCCACGGCAACAAGGCAATTTAAGCACTTTTAAATAAGCATTAAAAGAATCGAGACCAAGTGGAAAAAGAAACACATTTAAAAACATCTAAGAACATGAACTAAGGACGCAAGAAAAGAGAAATAAAAGCAAGCAAAATATAGTTAAAAAGTGACAATGTAAGCAGCGGCAGTGGTTCAGTCTGTAGGGGATTGGACTTTGGACCGAAGGGTCGCCGGCTCACGTCCCGATCGGACCAAAACAATAGGGAGTGTGGACTGGTACTGGAGAGGAGCCAGGTCACCTCCTGGGCCACTGCCGAAGTGCCCTTGAGCAAGGCACCTAACCCGCGCCGGCTAGACTGGCTGCCTCCGCTCTGACCTCTCACCTGCATGTGCCTGTGTGCATATAACTGTGTGTGTATATGTATGTGCATGATGTACAAAGTGTGTACTGTATGACCTGTATAAAAACGCATGTGTGTGTACGACCGAGTGGAAACTACATTTCCCCCTCTGGGATTATTAAAAGTCCATCTTCTTCTTCTTCTTCTTCTATAAATAGTTATTTTATTTAAATAACAGAAAAGGATCAATTCTTCAAAGGAAAGCCCAAAAAAAGGCATTGAGTTGAAATGTACTCTAACCTTTACTTTGGGTTTCTTTACCTGTTCTTTTCTATGAAACTGTTCAAATGTGTAATTATCTACGCTCTCTGCTCTTAAATGGAAGGTAAGAAGAGACTCTGATTCTTTGTTTCCAGGTAAATGAAACAGTATGTCCTGCAGCTCTTCATTACAGAGTGAACATGTGAATCAGCGGCTCTGTGTTTCTTTAAACGAGCTGCGTCAGAGGTTTGTTTCAGTAACGCTGTTCCTGTCGCTCATCCCTGCAGCTTCATTAACTTCCTGTTTCTGAGCCTCGCCGCTCATCTGCCTCACCGTGTCTGTTTTAAATGAGCTGTCAATCATCCGGACGCCACCCCCGAGCCACAATTACTGCGACATTATTACCTCAGCGTTCAACACGGAGGATTAAACAGGTTTCAGTGCTGTCTGTTCACAGAGGAGGCAGAACACGACACCTGATCACAGGGGAGGAAAGAGGACAATATACGCTTGATTCAACAGAAATTAGATACAAAAATATTAGGGCTGTCAGTCGATTAAAATATTTCATTTTGTATCTGTTCTAAATGCACCTTAGAGGAATATTTTTCAAGTTTGTAATGGACAAATATGCTTTATGCAAATGTTTGTTTATTATCTTTGGAACAATGACAAATATTCTCCTGAATATTCTCAACACAACAACCTCTCTCTCTCTCTCTCTCTCTCTCTCTCTCTCTCTCTCTCTCTCTCTCTCTCTCTCTCTCTCTCTCTCTCTCTCTCTCTCTCTCTCTCTCTCCTGTGTACTTCTCTGCACTGAGCCAGTTGCTCAAACAGACATGCCTGTGTACAGTTGTCGGTGAAATGCCGCTCCTCTGTCTTCATACCAGTCAAAGCATGCTCCATGCTCCATATGTAGCTCTCGGCAAAATAACCTAAATATATAGTATTACGTTCTCCTCAAGAACTCTTACAACTCAATCTAAGTTCCTTAATCTTTCTCGGGGCCTGTTCAACTTCCTCAAGGACTAAAATGTCCTAAAGAATCTCCAAAAAAGACTCAAGGACTCTTCCAATCAACTTCTTCAAGGTATCCTACAACCTCCTTTATATCTACAACCTTTTCAACGACTCAAATGATCCTTGAAAGCTACTGAAAAAACATTTCAACCTCCTCAAGAAAACGTATAACCTCCTAGAGCAGACGTGTCAAACTCAAGGCCCGCGGGCCAAATGTGGCCCGCCACGTCATTTTATGTGGCCCGCGAGAGCTTAAAAGGTCTGATTGTCTAAAAATAAATAAGTCAAATGCGTGCAGTGACCAAAAACTACATTTCCCACAATACATGCCGATTATGTTACCCGCGATGTGACGGCATCCCGCCACTAGACTGCAGTGTTTCCACATCGATGCGATTTTCCCAACAAGTGGAATTGAGAAATACAAATAATGATCCCAAAATGTCCAGGAAGAGAAAAATTGATGCAGATGGAAGGGTGTTTCAAGAAAGATGGGAAGGCGAATACATGTTTGTGCTTCAAGGAGAAAAACCGGTATGTCAAAGAGTACAATCTACGTCGGCATTTTGAGACCAAACACGGAGCTAAGTATGCCAAAATTAGCCATCAAGAAAAGCAACAAATTGCCCAAGAATTAAAAGGCAAACTGCGATCGCAGCAGAATGTGTTCGCGAAAGCCACAACCAAAAACAACGCGGCAGTGAAAGCTAGCTTTGTTGTGGCTGAAGAAATCGCCCGTGCTTCAAAGTCTTTTTCAGAGGGAGCGTTTTTGAAGCAGTGCATGCTGAAGGTCTGTGAGCAGGTGTGTCCCGACCAGATACAGACTTTTAAAAATGTCAGTTTATCAAGAAACACTATCGCGGACCGAGTTAAGGAACTAGCAGGAAACCTGGCAACACAGCTGGCCGAAGAGACACGCAGCTACATAGCTTTTTCATTAGCTGTTGATGAAAGCACAGACACCACGGATACAGCGCAGCTATCTATTTTTATTAGAGGCGTGAAGTCGGACCTCTCTGTCACTGAGGAGCTGTTGGATGTGGCTGCCATGCATGGGACCACAACGGGACGGGACATTTTTGATGCGGTGGAGAAGTCCGTCAGTAAAAACGCATTGCCCTGGGAAAACTTGGTGGGATTAACTACAGACGGTGCACCTGCAATGTGTGGAAGAAAAGTGAGCTTGGTTGGACTAATGAAGGAGAAAATGCAAGAAAGTAACTGTCACACGCCTCTGATAACATATCATTGCATTATCCATCAAGAAGCTTTGTGCGGGAAGGTGCTGGGGATGGATGATATAGTGACCACGGTCATGAAGACAGTGAACTTCATTCGGGCGCGTGGCCTGAATCATCGTCAGTTCCAGCTGTTCTTGCAGGAGATGGGCTCGGAGCACGGAGACGTGCCGTACCATACAGAAGTAAGGTGGCTGAGTAGGAGCAAAGTCCTCAAACGATTTTTTGAGCTTAGGGAAGACATTGCTCTTTTCATGCAGAGTAAAGGGAAACCCTTGTCTGAACTGTCAGATCCAAACTGGCTGTGCGACTTTGCTATGTTGTGTGACATAACCGAGCATCTCGCCCAACTGAATCAGAAGCTGCAGGGACGCAAACAAGTCATCACGCAGATGTCCGACACGATCACGGCTTTCCAGCGTAAACTTGACCTATGGATGTGCCAAGTGAAACAGGACAATCTTGCCCACTTTCCTGTTTGTCAGAGCATCTCAGCCTCATGTCCCGGTACTTTCTCATGTGCTCAGTTAGCTACCAAACTGAGCCTGTTGATGAATGAGTTTGATCGGCGCTTCTCTGACTTCAGAGCACAGCACTCTGGATTTGCCATCTTTGCTAGTCCTTTCACCACCGACGTGTGCACTGCACCCCAACACCTTCAGATGGAGTTAATAGAGCTTCAAAGCGATAGTGGCCTGAGAGCAAAGTTCCAGGATGCTACAATCCAGGACTTTTACCGTCTACTGCCCCCTGCTTTCATGCCACAGCTTCGACTTCATGCTGCCCGTGTTCTGTCTATGTTTGGGAGCACCTATCTGTGCGAACAGATGTTTTCAATAATGAATCTAAACAAAAACAAGCACAGATCACGCATCACTGACGACAACCTCCACGCTGTTCTACGGATTGCTACAGCACAGGACCTAAAACCAGACATTGACACACTGGCCACGGAAAAACGGTGTCAGACATCTGGTCAGAAAACACATTGGTAAGCATTTGAAAAAACCTAATAAAATATAATAAAATGCAATTCAACCAAGAAGAAGAATAGTTAAACTATGTGCAATGTAATGATTGTGCTTGCATTTTGTTTTGTGTTTGTTATTTTCAGAACATGATCAATGGATGAGGATGGTGGAGAGGGGATCCACATGGTGTGTTCAAGGACAGGCAGCATCTCCTCATCAAAAACTAACCTAAAAACTTGACCAATATAGTTGTGGACTGAGACAACCCTTATTTTGTTATTTTGAGTTTATTACATACTACTTTATATGTGTAGCAATGTATTTAGTGTTTGCAGGTTTTATGTGTTTATGCAGACACATGTTTACTGTAATCAAACCATCTCTCATTAGTTGGATGTATGCCCCCTGCAAGGCTGTGTGCAGCCATTTGTTTTTGTAAAATGCTACATCTGTCACACATGTTCTTAGCAGCTCACAATTGTTGGTTTTACAGTTATTTGTTATTTCAAGTTTTGAACAAAGTTAATGTCATAACTTGTGTTTTATGTTATTTTTCTTTATTCACTTGGATAGTTTGATCGTTGATTGATGGAGTAATGTGGGTTTCATAACCTGACAAATTAAAAGGATTTATGTTATAATAACAGAGCAACAAGCAAACATATTTTTTACATCTATGCAAATATATATGTAATATTTGTAACTTGAATAAGTAATACATTCAGAGTTATTTAACATTAAGGAGTAGTTACATTTATTTTACATTGCATTTAGTTACATTGCATTTAGTTACATTTATAAGTTACATCTGGCCCTTTGAGGGCAACGATTATGCTGATGTGGCCCTCGGTGAAAATGAGTTTGACACCCCTGTCCTAGAGGAACCTTAGAAACTCCTCAAGGTTGCTTATAACCTTTTCAATGAACCCTCAAACCTCCTCAAGGGCTCCTTCAATGACCCCAATGATCTGTGAAACCTCCTCAAGGCCAAAAACCTCCTCATGGACTTTAACAAACTCCTCAAGGTGTCTGACAACCTCTTTATGACTACTTTAAACCCTACAATGTTGTCAAAGAACCCTAACCCATTCTTAAAGGCTCCTAAAACCTCTTAAAGTATCGCTAAATCCTCTCCAATGACTTACATGCTCCTTAAACCTTCTCAATAACACTAACAACCTCTCCAATGACTCTAAGGACCGCCAGAACTTCCTCAAGGACCCCAACAACATCCTCAATGAGTTCAACAACCTCCTCAGGGAACTTTTAAACCGCCTCAAGGACTCCTACAACTCTCCAATGACTCTAAGGACCGCCAAAACGTCCTAAATGAGTCTAACAACCTCCTCAATCTCTCCTCAGGGAACTTTTCAACTTCTTCAATGTCTCCTACAACCTCTGAAATCAACTTTAAAATGACTCCAAGCAACCGCTCTAAGACGTGTTCTACCTCAACGTCCTTGTAAAACACCTCTACTCCCTCCTTCAAAGGGACTGCAACCTCTTCAAAGGCCATTAAAACCTCCCTGAGCATCCTTACAACCTGTTTAAAGACTCCAATTACTCCTGAAAGCAACCTACAATCTTCTTAAGGATATTTTCAATCTCTAAAATGACTCAAATGACTGATGCATTTTCCTCCAGGACCCGACAACACCTTAAATAACCAATGCAACCTCTCCAAAACAAGTCCTACCTCCTTTAAATACCCCTAAAAGCTCCTCAAAGAATCCTAACATATCTTAATTCATCCTTAAAACCTTTACAATGACTCCAGTGACCCCTGGAATATTCTCAATGACCACTACCACCATCCTACAGTACCACCGTACCCTCTTAGAGACCATACTTGTTTAAAGTATCGATATAGTTTACTCACATATCACCAAAACCTCCTAAATGACCACTTATCATCCCCAATCTGTTTTATAGTGCTGTAATCTTATCTGCTTAATTTTTTGGAACATTTCCCAGATGATGAATCAGAGAACTACTTGTAGTTTGGAGCTCGAACCACCAGATGGCGCCTAACCCCCAAATCAAACCTTTCTGATTTTTCTGAGGGTTTCTTTGATTCGCTTTGGTTTTCCTCTTTCACACATCCTCTTTTGAATCCCACTAAAGCAGGAATTAAGTCTCAAAGTGTGCGTCCCTGCAGGGTTAGCACTGGAAATAAACACACGTGCACTTGCTCCTTTACTCCATAAAAATAAAAAGACGAATGTGGTCCAAT